TATTTATTTGACAGAGAGAGACATAGCAAGAGCAGGAACACAAGCAGGGGGAGTGGGAGAGGGAGAAGCAGGCTTCCCGCTGAGCAGAGAGCCCGATGTGGGACTCGATCCCAGGACCCTGGGATCATGACCTGAGCCGAAGGCAGACGCTTAACGACTGAGCCACCCAGGCGCCCCTGGTTGGAGTATTTTAAAGCAAACCCTAGCACCACATCATTTTACCTGAGTTAGGGATTTTTAAAGCAGGTGATGGTTTGATGGGAAGAGAGGTCAGCAGCAGGGAGAGCAGGGGGGAAATGATTGACTAGAAAGACATCTTAGAGCCTGAAGTCTCAGGACTTGATGCCTCAGTGGTTCTGGAGGGAAGAAGGATGGTGGGTGTCCTGATGACTCAGGGACAGTGACTTCAGTGCATGGGTGGGTGGTGGTGCCATGCTCTGACCTCCGTCCAGAGAAGAGCATCCCTGGGTTTGCAGGGGGTTGAGTTTGGACATAGCAGATTTGTGGCGATGGAGTGTCCGGAGAGTGCCCGGGGAGCGTCCTGACGGAGTTCAAGATTGTGGGGACATAAGCATGGAAGGGGGTGGCTGCCTTAAGTCCAGCCTTGAAGTGAGAGAGGGTCTAGTAATCATTTCTCACAGAAGGATTTTTGGGCTTACGCAGTCTTACTGCCAGTCTGTTTCTGTGGGTTCCACCTCCCCCTTGGTCTACGGTGGAATTAAGCCTCCTTTACACCAGGTTCTCCCCACAAGTCCTCCCAGAAAAGGCGTGTGGTGGACAATGTGGAAATGCTGCTAACGGTACCAGGTGCCTCTGCTCTGACCTCTGGGGTGTTTTCTCAGGAGAAAAGTGGCTGGTGATTGGCGGGATGCTCATTGCTCCCTGGGATCAACATCTGGCTATGCTCACCCCATGACTTGCTTGACTTGTTTTTAAGGGGCATTTGCAAGGGGTCAAGGGTCAGGTAGGGTCCCAGAGCGCCACCTGAACACGCAGATTTCCCTCACAGCAGCCTCATCCTCACAGTGGAGCTGTGTCTTATTATGGTCTCCCCCTGCACCCCATTCTCCTGGCTCCTCCCTCCTGAGTCGATTTTATCAGAAATGGCTCTTAACGTTGTTCATGCATATTTAACACCCAGTTGGAGGAGTGAAGGCCTGATTGTTTTTGAGTCAAGTTTTGATTTACTTAAGCAAGATGTGGCCCTGGTAGAAATAAATATTTCTAGGGCCAGAGAGTGTGGACCAGTACATAATGATTCAGAATATATTTTAAACTAAAATATTTTCACTTTCTGGACCCTGATAAGTAAGGTAATTTTTTCTCTTTTTCAAAAAGAAACTGTCGTGTTGTTAGAAATCTCCCCAGTGTACAGACCACCAGATTACAGCTACGCATAAACAGAGCTACAAGAACGTCTATATGTTACAGGTGGAAAACAGTGCCTCTCGGCTCTTAAATCTGCGTATGTGCAAGATGGAGCCATCGTGGATAGTCTACCGCACTCTTCTGCCCCCCGCATTTCACATCCGTCTCTTTGCTTTCATCTTTGCTGTTTGACTTAGGAAATAACAGTCCTCCCAGAGCCCACGCCGGTGGCCGCCACGTGCTTGTGCTTCCCAATAACTGCGTTACTTTGGACGGTTCGAGGTCTACCGATGACCAAGGAGTTGTGTCCTACCTGTGGGTCCGGGACGGCCAGAGCCCAGCTGCTGGGGTGAGTGCTCCACGAGAGCCGTCCCGCTTACATCACGCCGAGTCAGTCTGCTCGGGCTCCTGTAAGGAAATACCATGGCCTGGGCGGCTTCCACGACAGACAGACGTGTCTCCCAGTTCTGGAGGCTGTGACGTCCAAGCTTAAGGCTCTGGATGATTTGGCTCCTGGTCCGAGCTCTCTGTTTGGCTCACAGGTGACTGCCTTCCCCACACAGCAGAGAGGGAGGGAGGGCTGGCTCTCTGTGGTCTCTTCTTCAAGCACATTAATCCTGTGGAATCAGGGCCCCACCCTTATGACCTCATGGAACCCCTACCTCCCTCCCTACAGGCCCGATTTCAAACACAGTCAGTCACACTAGGGGCTAGGGCTTCAGCAGATGAAAGTGAAGGCCACACAGTTAAGTCCTTAGCAGCATTTCTATTATGACCTCATCTCCCTTTCCATGCTCCCCACTAAGGTGTTTATGCTTCTGGGTTTCCTCTGAGGCCCGGAGGCAGCAAGCTACTCTTAGATTCAAGCAAAGGCTGAAGTCTTCCCGGACCAGACTTTGCATTGGGGTAGGAGACCACAGCCTGGGGGGGACTTTAAAGCCAAGTCTTCCCGTGGGAATCATTCTGCTCCTCAGCTTCCCCGCTGTTCCTCTTTGGGTCCAAGTGGTTTCTTTCCATTTCCTCCCATCCTGCCAAACAGGTCAGTTGGTCCAGGATCGCTGTTCCCATTTCACAAGTACAGGAAGCGAGATGCAGAGATGGAAAATGACTTGGCCAAGGTCAACCAACTCATCCTTAATCAAACCAGGCAGACCCAAGTTTTTAGCTCCTGGCAGACGTTTCTCCCCATAGATCCCTCCACTTCTTAGGCTATACTTTTAGGTACATCTTCACTCCTGCTGTTGCTAAGGACTTGAGAGTTGCAGATATACTCTTGGACATGCACCAAAGAAGTGGTCATGTGGGGAGGGGGGAGATGAGCAGCACCTGGGTGGCTCAGTCAGCCAAGCGTCTGACTCTTGATTTCGGCTCAGGTCATGATCTCAGGGTTGTGAGATCGAGCCCCTTGTCGGGCTCCACGCTCAGCGGAGAGTCTGCTTCTCTGCCTCTCCCTCTGCCCCTCCCCCCAGCTTGTGCATGCACGCTCTCACCTTCTCTCTAATAAATACATAAATCTTAAAAAAAATAAAAGAAGTGGTCACAAGGAAGGAACTGAACATACTTCATACTTGCTGAAGCACCTCTGGAATGAATACTCTTCAGCCAAAAGGTGGATTAGCTTCAAGGTATAGCGACTCTCTGTTCAGAGCACTTGTTACCTTTGCTTACCACCCTCTTCTGTCACCAAGTGCAGAGCAGGGGTGTCTGAGATTCTTCTCTAATCCTTTGGAGCTTGGATCCCCCGGGAGCAGAAATATTCTACTTGGGCTCTTGGGTCATTTGAGAAGGTAAATGTGATACATTAGAGACTATTGTAAAACTGTGTTTGAAAATAAGACCCAGAAACTCTCCAGAGGGGGTGCTTCACCCTCATTTCAACGGTTATCCCCTGTGTTGGATGAACTGAACAATTCGGTAATGGCTGGACAGCCCTTACTAAGTGCAGCCCATTAGTCCTGTCTGAGGAATCTGTGCGTCCTGGTGCTGTCTTTGGAAGAGCTGCTGAGGATTCCCCTCTCTTCAGCTAACCCACCAGCCCCTTCCTCTTCAGCCTGCCCCTTACAGTCATGCACACATTAGAAACATAGGCCCCTGAGGTCTGGGATCAGCAGTGGGCCAGAAGTTGGGAACTGAGCATCGACTTGCGTTATTTTGCAGGATGTCATCGAGGGCTCCGACCGCAGCGCAGCCCTGCAGCTTACCAATCTGGTGGAGGGCGTCTACACGTTCCGCTTGCAAGTTGCTGATGGTCAGGGGGCCTCGGACACGGACACGGCCACCGTGGAAGTGCGGCCAGGTGCGCCTGGGCTAACGTGCTGGTCTGTGATATAGGCGGCCCGCTCTCGGACCCTTCGCAGTGGACAGGGTCCCCCCGGCTGGGGTGCCTCCCGTGGCTGGCTTCCGCTCCTGGCCAGAGCCACAGTGCAGCTTTCCTTCTCTTCACTGTGTATCCCCAGACAGACCCGGCCTCTCAGCTCATGACACGGAGTTGAATGTGGCAGCAGGAATCTTGTGTCCCTTCGGTGTTGCTGCCGGAAAGTGAAGCAGACGCATGAGCTTCAGGGTGGGAGCGCAGGGGAGCAGCTCCAGTGAGGGGCCTCCAAGCCCCCCACGAAAACGGGGCGAGAGCGGCTCCCGCAGCTGAGGCTGAGGGAAGGGTGTGCGGTGCCAAAATTTCAAGGTAGCCCAGAGGCTGTTTAGGTTCCCCTGGAGATCTCCCAGGAAAAGTCCTAAGTCCTGAGAAGTTACCCTGGGATCATTTTAAACTCTTTAAACCCTTGTGCGGGCCTTGCCCCTTATGTTGTCCAGCAGGATTTCAGGGCGGACATCCCGTGTGTTCTGGCTTCGCAGACCCTAGGAAGAGTGGACTGGTGGAGCTGACCCTGCAAGTGGGCGTGGGGCGGCTGACCGAGCAGCAGAAGGACACCCTCATGAGACACCTGGCGGCCCTGCTGAACGTGCCAGACTCAGACGTTAAGGTTCAGAAGATCCAGGCCCACTCGGACCTCAGGTGTGAGCTGCATACCTGTCCGGCAGGATCCTGTTTGTTCCCTTTGCGTGTTGTCTGGGTTTGCACACGCTTGTATCCCATCCATACATTCTTTTTCTCAAAGGGCAGCAGTAAGGACAACGTCATTCCAGGTTCCTCCTACAAGTCTCAGTAAATGTTTGTTGACCGAGAATGTTCCAGATGAAGGAGTTAGCAATCATCAGCCGGAACTGGTTGTTAGCTCTGCTATCTTCAGAGGTCGTGCAAATGGCCTGGGGCTGGCACAGAGGATGCGTCACAGCCAGACTTCATCCCTACCCCACATTCCCAGGGCTGAGGCTTCTCTCGGTGTGAGAGGAGAATAGATTACCATTGCTGTCTTCTGGGAGTGTAGGAGGCTAAACCTCTGGCCTTTATATAAGATTTATATATTTAATTGAGCTTTTGTTTTTGAATGCTTATCCAATCTATGAGTAGTAGGGTGGGTGGGAGGAGAGAAAGAGTATGGGAATGAAAATCTACCATTCACAGTAAATCCATTGGCCAGTTATTGTCAGCTACTCCGTTTAGGTTTTTTTTCCAGACAACTGAAGTTTACTTAGAAAAATACCAAGTTAAAAGAATTTTAATTATTTTTTCATAGAATTTTAATTACTTTTTCATAAATTTCATTATTTTTTCATTCTTTCAAAACAAATCACACATTTCCCTTACTTACAAAATATCAAACACTGAACAAGTCTGAAAATCAACAAAACCAAAGGCTGTTTCTTTGAAAAATCAACAGAATTGATAAACCTTTAGCTAGACTGACCAAGAAAATAGAAGACTCAAATTAGTAAAATCAAGAATGAAAGGGGATATTCCTACCAACCATATAGAAATAAAAAGGATTATTCTTTGAGTAATTGTATGTCAACAAATTAGTTAACCTGGATGAAATGGACACAATCCTAGAAAGACACAACTATACCAACTGACTCAAGAAGAAATTAAAATTTTTTACAGACCTATAGCAAGTGAAGATTAAATCAGTAATCAGTAACTTCCCACCAAGCCCAGGACCAGATGGCTTCACGGGTGAATTCTACCAAACCATTTAAAGATTTACCACCGCTTCCACAAGTTCTTCCAAAACAGAGAAGTGGAGGGAACACTTTCCAACTCATTCTAGGAGGCCAGTTTTTACTCTGATATTAAAACCAGACAGAGGGGCACCTGGGTGGCTCAGTCGGTTAAGTGTCTGCCTTCAGCTCAGGTCATGATCCCAGGGTCCTGGGATTGAACCCCATGTAGGGCGTAGGGCTCCCTGCTCAGCAGGGAGTCTGCTTCTCCCCCTCCCTCTGCCCCCTCCCCTGCTCATACTCTCTCTCTCTACTCAAGTAAATAAAATCTTTAAAAAAAATAAAACCAGAGACATTCCCAAGAAAACTACTGACCAATGTTCCTTATGAATATAGAAGCAGAAATCCTTAACAAAATACTTTGAAACTGCATCCAGCAACATATTAAAAGAAGTAGACACCCTAGCCAAAGTGGGATTTATCCCAGGCATGCAGGGTAAGTCAATCAATAAATGTAATAAACCCTATTAATAAAGGACAAAAACCATATGATCATCTTAGTAGGCACAGAAAAAAAGCATTTGATGAAATCCAACAGCCTTTCATGATAAAAACACTTGTAGGCTGAGTTGTGGCCCCTCAAAAGATACATTTACATCCTAACCCCTACTACCTGTGTGACCTAATTTGGAAACAGGATCTCTGCAGATGGAAATAGTTGAGATAAGGTTAAACTGCCGTAGGGTGGACACTTCATCCAGGGTGATTGTGTCCCTGTAAGAAGAGAAGAGACTCAGAGACACAGGCAGATCACCAGGTGACAGTGGATTGATGGGTCTCCAAGCACGCCCACTGTGGAGAGCTGCAAGAAGGTGTGGGGCATGGTTTCCTCTAACACCTTCAGAGACAGGATGGCCTGACAATACCTTGATTTTGAGCTTCTAGCTTATGGAACCGTAGGAGAATAAATTTCCATTGTTATAAGCCACCCATTTTATGGTACTTTTAATGGCAACCTTGGAAACGAATACAGATTTGAATAGAAATGTCTCCAGAGAAGACCTACAAATGGCTAATCAGCACATGAAAAGGTGCTCAACGTCATTAGCTGTTGGGAAATGCAAAGCAAAATCCTTTTGACATACCACTTCACACCCGCTAGGTTGGCTGTAATCCAGAAGACGCACCATAACAAGCGTTGGCGAGGACATGGAAGGATTGGAACACTCTGCATTTCTGGTGGGAATGTATAGGGGTGCAGCCAGTGTGGAATTAGTTCCTCAGAATGCTGAACGTAGTTCCCAGACGACCCAGTGAGTCCACTCCGAGATACATACCCAAGAGAAACGATAAACGTGTGTCCACACAGAAGCATGCACACGAAGATTTATACGTTCAGCCAAAAGGGGATACAATCTAAACGTCAGCAGTTGATGAATGGATAAACTCAATGAGCAATGTCCGTACGATGGAATGTGGTTTGGCAGTAAAAGGGAAGGAATTTGTGGTAGACAGTGGGACGTGGATAAACTTGGGACACATCATGCAAAGTGGAAGAAGCGGGACAGAATGCCTCGTGTATTCATTTGTATCAGACATACCGTCAACTCAGGAGAGATGGAAAGTGGATGAGTTGTTGCCAGGGGCTGAAGAGAGGAGGGGATGAAGAAGAGTCACTCCTTAATGGGCACAGGGTTCCTTGAGGTGATGACAATGTTCTGGAGTCAGATGATGGCGATGGTTACACAGTGTAGTGAATATACTAAAAGCCGCTGAGTGATGCGATTTAGAAGGGTGAATTCCAGTGGAAGTAAATTATATCTCAATAAACAGATAAAAGTAAGGACATCTCCCCGCGCACGGCTGAGTCTGTTTGCACACATACGCATATTGCTCCTCTTAATCTAAAGGTCTGTCTGTCATCAGGTGAATAGATAGCTCTGGGGCTGAAGAGCCTTTATTTGTGACTAGAAAGGGATCAGTTCCTTGGCCCACGAGATACGTCCCCGTGTCCTTGCCAAACCACCCGGCTGGGGCAGTCAAAACCCTCCCAGGTCAGACGGCCGGTGCGGACGTGGCATGTTGGTCACTGCCTGACCGCGTGGCTGTCCTCCCTCTTGTCTGCTCTGCAGCACCGTGATTGTGTTTTATGTCCAGAGTGGGCCGCCTTTCGAGGTTCTCAAAGCTGCCGACGTGGTCCACAGTTTGCACAGGCAGCTCTCAAAGGAGAAGGCCGATTCCTTGCTCTTCAAAGTCTTGAGGATCGACACAGCAGGTATGTCTTCTATGGGAATATTCCTTCTTTTAGGGTCCAAGTAATAGAAATATTTGCTGTCTATTCAGAATTGGATGGCACTGAGCAAAACATCCCATCAAATTAGATGCATTGAGAATCTCATAGAAACCAAAATACCCATTGAGGTTAAAGTGACAGATTTCTTGGACGAGGTGATCTAAGATATGTTTGCAGTCTGACAGGACAGTAGTGAGGTCACATAGTCTTTTGGGACTGACTGGGCATGAAGTCCAGTATTTGTCTAATCAGAAATTAAATATTGAGCTTAATTCCTCCAAGAATATGCCTATAGGTTGATTCCTCTGGGAATATTCTTTTTTTTTTTTTTTAAAGATTTTATTTATTTGAGACAGAGAGAATGAGAGAGACAGAGAGCACATGAGAGGGGGGAGGGTCAGAGGGAGAAGCAGGCTCCCTGCCGAGCAGGGAGCCCGATGCGGGACTCGATCCCGGGACTCCAGGACCATGACCTGAGCCGAAGGCAGTCGCCTAACCAACTGAGCCACCCAGGCGCCCTCCTCTGGGAATATTCTTAAAAAAAATCAGACTCAGCCTTGCCAGTCAGGGCCAAGTTTTACTGGCATGGAAAGAGGAGTGAGGTGTGACAATTTTCACGTTTAGCGTCCAGAGACTTGGTTCGCGTTTATGTTTACAGCGGGCTTCCTCCAGCATGTTTACCACCTGCTCTTTGCCTCTGAGGGAAGCAAGAGAAACAGCAGTCCTGGGTCAGTTTTTTTAAAACTATACTCCAGATAATGGTCATTGTCAGAAATTTCATATTTAAGCTGTCGGCACAGTTTTAAAGACAAGTGTTCTGGGCTGGAAAAGCTTATGTTCATGTAGTTTTTTCCCTGGGCGTCACGGTGTTGTGACAGTGAGGTTTCCTGGACTCCTGGAAAGGCAGGGTAGCTTCCAGGTGCCTCCCACTGGACCCTCGTCCTGGCGCCTCGCTTGCTGCCCCGTCCTGGCACCAGACTGACTCACGGGTGTGCTCGGAAATGTGGTCTTGGTCCAAGTTCTCTGTCTCTACCTTATGAGGAACATGATCCCTCATGATGAAGTAAGTGGCCATTACAACAGGCGCCGAGGAGTGTGAGCGTCGGGAGGGACACGGCAGTGTTGGGTGGACGGTTTAGCATGTTTCAGAGAGATGTCTGTCCACAACTGATGTCCTCAACGTGCACTAACTTAAATCTTTTTAAAAGATTTATTTATTTATTTATTTATTTATTTATTTATTTATTTATTTATTTGACAGACAGAGCCCGAGAGCACAAGCGGAGGGAATGGCAGAGCAGAGGGAGAAGCAGGCTCTGCACTGAGCAGTGAGCCCAACGCGGGGCTCGATCCCAGATCCCTGGGATCTTGACCTGAGGCGAAGGCAGATGCTGAACCATCTGAGCCACCCAGGCGCCCCACTAACTTAAATCTTTTAATAATCCCCTTTTTTCTAGCTACAAAAGTAATGTCTTATTTATCATAGGAAATTTGGATATCTAGAAAGGCAAAAAAAAAAAAAACAATCCTCTAGATTCTTGAGCCTAGAATCCCCACCCTCCAAACTTAACTTTCGTTGATATTCTGATGTATTTCCTTCCAGCTCCTCCCTCTCTGGAAACATGTGATACAATCAGGATAATTCGATAAATATTTTTAATCTGCTTTTTAAGTGCAAATCATATTATCATTTTTTTTTAATCTTTTACGATTTCTCCCTCAATAGAGGATATTTATGGCTGCATTGTCCTCCATCCTGGATACGTTCGACCAGTCCTCCACTCAAGGACTTTAGGTTGATTTTAAATAATGCTGTAATTGTAGACAAATCTTCGTGCACATCCCCAGTTATTTTCACTGGATAAATTCTTAGAATGTATCTCTCTTAGGCCAGAGGGTACTACGTGTTGGCTACATTTTTAAGGCTTTTGTTACCCGGTGTGGATTGGCTTTTTTCTGCCGTTTGCTTCCTGATGAGAGAGACCCCTTGGGCCCCCTGCATGCTGTAAGAGGCTCTTGACTCAGCAAGATGCGTCCATCGGGGTCCAAGCTAATGAAAACCCACGGCGGGCGGAAGCCAGGCTCCGCCCTCCTGCCGGCCGCCACACCGGCCTCAGCTGCACCCCCTCTTCGCAGGCTGCCTTCTGCAGTGCTCTGGCCACGGTCACTGCGACCCCGTCACCAAGCGCTGTGTGTGCTCCTGGCTGTGGATGGAGAACCTGATACAGCGTTACATCAGGGATGGGGAGAGCAACTGCGGTGAGTCTGGGGCTGGGGGTGCGCCTGTGGGGGAGGAGCGTCGGGACACACCGTTTTTGAAATACCAGAGATACCCGCCCCATTCTGCTGCTGTAAACATTCGCCCTCTCCTTGCCTGAAGCCAAGGCGCAGTGAGTTAAGATCCTCCCCACCCCCTGCCATCAGTGCGGATGGACGTGCCTAGGCTTTTCTGCAAACCTACCTGATAAGGAGACCCACTTGGGCAGAGCAGAGTTGGCTAATCACCGCCCGCATTGCCGAGAGAGTTGCTTTGTGCCCCTTGGGCCATTTTTGGGGTGCACCTGCCTTTGCTCGGGCTCAGTTGGCCTTCTGGTGACGTGTTTCCTGGTGTGGACCTGCTGGATGCAGATGAACGGGAGAGTCTGGCCCACTCCTGGATGTCTGCCGGGCAGGCACCAAGAATGGGAGCCACCTTCTCAGCTAGCCCAGCTCGTGCCCCGACATCTCCTCTGGGGAGGAATCTATTTTAATGCCAGTCTGTTTCCAAGAGCAATTTTGTTGCCTTGGGGATCCAGATGCACATATTTGGCCGAGAAATTTGAAAATAGCCAGCCCTTGGGTCATTATTCCAAAGAGCATATATAACATTTACTAGGGTTAAGCCTATGTCTTTGGGCCCTTGGTTTCTCTGTCCCGAATTGCTGTTGCAAAGCTTTTTATACTGGATTTGTGCAAGGATGTGGAAGGAATACAGATCAGGTGGTTTCTGAATTACTGTCTGGCTCTCGGAAGTGTGTATGTGTCATAGGAAGCCAGACAGATATTTTATTTGCCTTATTAAAGACTAAGCCAGAACTATTTTGGTGGGGAGGGTTGTGTTTCTTGTGATTATGGAAGGAATATTGTGATGTGTCATACATGGGTGTTCACAGAATAACTTCTTTTTTTATTTTTAAGATTGATTTTTTTTTTTTAATTTAACAGAGATAACGTAAGTAGGCAGAGTGGCAGACAGAGGGAGAGGGAGAAACAGGCTTCCCGCAGAGCAGGGAGCCCGATGCTGGGCTCGATCCCAGGACCCTGAGATCATGACCTGAGCCAAAGGCAGATGCTTAACAACTGAGCCACCTAGGCGCCCCTCACAGCATTACTTCTTAATTAATTTGGTTTTGATAATTCTGTCCTTAAGTCAGCTTGAAATATACCCCATGAGGTCCCTGAACCAATTGCACCGAAGTTGGGTACCTTTAAGTTGTTCTTGATTTATTTGCATTTACCGTGTTTATGCTCTGCTCAGCCCGATGAGGCCGTAGGTGGCCTTTGCTCGTAAGAACTCAGAAACACTCATTGTGAGTCACTGAAATAAAGTTGTTTTGCGAACAGCGTGTAACCGTGTCCCCTCTGGCTTTCTTGTTTCCCAGAGTGGAGTATATTCTACGTGACGGCGTTGGCTCTCACTGTCCTCGTGCTGATCGGGGGCTCGCCCTGGCTTTGCATCTACTGCTGCAAGAGGTACCCCGCCTGCTCGTTTATTTACTTGGAATAAAGACACGTCATGAAATGGAACTCGATAGCTGTAGTAGCTTTAGCTTGGGTTTCTTAAGCTGCTGAACCATTTGACAGTCACTTTTATATGAAGACAAACTAGACTTTAAAAGTCCTTTATGGGGATGCCTGGCTGACTCAGTCGATGGAGCATGCGACTCTTGATCTCAGGGTCTTGAGTTCAAGACCAACGTTCCGAGTGGGGCCTACTTAAAAAAACAAAATCCTCTATATTGTACTCCCACCCCACCCCACCCCCTGCAAGGCATGTGTGCCCAGATACATGGAATAATACCAGAGGCGGCTTTTTCTTTTTTTTTTTTTTTTTAAAGATTTTATTTATTTATTTGACAGAGAGATAGAGAGCACAAGTAGGCGGAGAAGCAGGCAGAGGGAGAGGGAGAAGCAGGCTCCCCGCAGAGCGGGGAGCCCCATGCGGGACTCGATCCCAGGACCCTGGGATCATGACCTGAGCCGAAGGCAGCCGCTTAACTGACTGAGCCACCCAGGCGCCCGAGGCGGCTTTTTCTTATGCAGCTTTCCTCTTCCCTAGGAGGCTCAGTGATTCTGTATCAAATCTAATGTTATTTTCTATCAGTCTCACCTTCCCTTTACTAAGACACTCCTGGAATGGCCTCATTGATCAGCCCTCACAGGAAGGAGTTCCAGAAACATTCTGATGCAAATTTAGATTTTGATTCTTTTGTGTGAAGCAACAATGGAATCTATCTCAATCCTATTGAATAAATGCAAAACCTTAATCCAGGCCATGCAGTCACCAAAGAGAAGTTTTGCTTTCGGTGTTTTCCCTCTTCCTTCTTCGGTGGAGCTGACCTCGAGAAGCCCGTGAGCTGCCTCGTTGTCTCAATCTTCCAGAACTCTGTGCCCAGCCCTCTGTGAGGAGATTTGTAGGGACAGTGATTTCTCGAGTCCTTAGAAGACAGGGTCGGTGGCCCACTATCAACACAAAACACTAAATACTCTCCAAAGAAGACACGATAAAAAGAACTAATGTGTACGGTAATTAATAGTTATTTTTTGAAACCGCTCACATTATCTTGGTTTTATTTGTGACTCCCTTCCCAATAGTGAGGCTGGTGAAGGGGGGGCACAGGTCCTCAGAGGCCTAAATCCCAGTAAACTTTCCCAGAGCTATTTGGGACCATGGGCACCCTGCTGTGCTTGGCTGTAAAAATTCTGCAAAAAATAAAAATAAATGAAAATTTTTAAAAAAATACACATTCTGCAGTTTTGTGGCATATATATCAAGCAGATGATGGTGATGATGAAGAAAGTGGTTGACTGTGACCTTTTTACGTATTAAGAAGTAATATGAAATATTCGCCATTGTGACGGATGGCTCTCCGTGCTTTATGTATATTATTCAGTCCTCCCACCACCGTATAAAAAGGGACTGTTTTTACTTCCATTTTACAGGTGGGAACTTGGAGTCACAAAGTATCAAAAAATTGTCTCAGAGTCACCCAGCTAGTAAGCACTGAATCAGGCTTTAGAGGCCCATGCTCTAAGTCCCCACCCTGTCCGGAAACTGAATGCTCTGGGACTGTCCTCAGCATAACCTTCCCGTGGCTTTGATGTGTGTTTTCACATAATCCTCGGCAGCTTAGGATGATGCACAAAGGACCAGTTTTTCATGCGTTGTGAAAAATGAAATCCTGGGCTGTTGCCAATTAATTTTGGGAATCTGTTATATTTCTGTTTGTTTGTTTTTCCTGGTTGCTAGTTTATATCATCTTTGCATCTTTGGACCTTCTAGGCAGTGTAGGTTCAGGGGGGAAATGTGTGCGTCCAGGTTTTTCCGAGTAAAGAAGTACCCGTGGGGAAGCTCGCTGTGCCAGCACTCGGGTACTCAGAGGGTGGCTCCCAAGGGCCCTGGCCGAGAGCCTGCGGTTAGGTGGGCGCTGGGGGGGTGGCCGCCCTGCTCCTGTGTTTGTTCAGGATGCACGCTGTGCCTCAGCCCCACCGAACCCAGCCCTGGCTCTGTACGCACATCATCCCTACACGTGCCGACCCTTCCATTCTAAAGGCAAACCATTTCCTTTAGTGTTTTAATTCCTGGCTCCCGGTTCCCTCTCTAAGAACCTGAGTTGGGCTTTTCGTTGTTCCTCTCAGACGAAAAAGGACTAAAATAAGGAAGAAAACCAAGTATACCATCCTGGATAACATGGACGACCAGGAGAGAATGGAGCTGAGGCCCAAGTATGGTAAGGTGGTCTGCAAGATGCTTGCCCGGTGCTTGAAAGGATCGGATCCGGGGGTTTGCCTGAGCGTTCCCTTGGGTGAAGGGGGAGCGACAGGCTGGAGCCAGCAATTTAATTGGGAAGGAAGAGTGAGTCTGAGCTTGTGGGAGGGAAAACCTACACCAATCCCAAGGATATGCGACGGGGAGGCATCGTTGTATTCTAAATTTCATGAAATTTTGGGGACGCACTTTGAGGCCTTAACGGCTGAGAGATATGAAATGCCTCTTATCAGCTGAGCCCCCCCTTTGCCCCCACTGCAGGCAAAGACCGCTTTTCAAACAGGTTTGCCTCTGGCACAGCTGGGCTGTCGGGCGTGTGGCCCCGCTCCGCCCCAGCGCCCCTCTGAGCGCTGCGCCCCGCAGGCCTGCTCCCCGACAGCATTTCCCTTAGCTGACGATCCATATGCAGGCGAACATGAAGCTTTGACCGAGCCGGCGAGGGCCCGTGGCGGGTAGGGCCGGGCCACCTGCTTCTCTCAGTGCTTCTGGTGCCTCTCTGCGCCCTCCGTGCCCTCCCCGGTCCTCCTGTCCAAATCCCTGCCTGTATGAAATATCGCTGAAGCAGTGCTGGCCAATCGGTGTGTGCTTATCCGTTCTTGATTCCTGTAAGATTGATTTTTCAACGTTTCTTGCCTGTTTTGAACCATCTTCTCATGAGTCTTTGTCTTAAGCCCTTAGCTAGACACTGTAAATTCTCTGAGAGCAGGGATCGCATCTTATACCGCATCTCTTAGTTTGACCAGCAGCAGTCACATATTCTACCAAAAATATTTTGATTGAACCAAATCGTAAGACCGTAACAGCTTTCACTTCGTGCTTACTGAGCGCTAACTCCTGGGCATCAGCTTCACCTGCACTGTTTTACGGAGTGCTCACCATAAACCCGTGGAGTACGGGCTCGGTCATCTCCCAGTATTAATGGTTATGGAGCCTGAAAGCCCAGAGAGGTTAGGCATCTTGTCCAGCATCACACAGCTAGCTAGTAAGTGTCAAAGCTTGGGTTCAAGCTCAGGGGTGACTCCAAAGCCCCTGTTGCTGCTCACCAGGGCCCCCAACCCCTGCTCTGTTGTGAGTGATGCTCTGAAGGTGCAGAGAACACCACTGGGTACATGGGACCTACAACCAGAAAGACAGCTGAGAGCGAAAAAGGCCGTTTCCCCCAAGATGCATCTGTCTGCTTCTCCCTAGGTATTAAACACCGAAGCACAGAGCACAACTCCAGCCTGATGGTGTCCGAGTCTGAGTTTGACAGTGATCAGGACACAATCTTCAGCCGAGAGAGGATGGAGAGAGGGAATCCAAAAGTTGCTATGAATGGTTCCCTCAGAAACGGAGCTTCCTTCAGCTATTGCACAAAGGACAGATAATGGAGCAGTTTGTAAACTCGAAGGCTACCCACAGGAATCGCTGAATCCAGGACCAGTTAATGGGAGTTAAAACACAGAACTAACTCTTGTTAGAATAGTGCATTAATGTCCTTTCACACGGGGCTGGATGTGTGTCCCTGTATTTAAAAGATCTGTTTTCTTGGGGTGTTGGAGACATGAAACAAAACAGAAACGTTGCTCTTTTAAACAGAGATGCTTGCTAACAGAGATACAGGTTGGGTCAGATACTAGGTATACACGTAGAAGAGTTTCGTGTTTCGTAGGTGGCGCAGTATTTATATTACCTATGTGGAAATAAAGACTACCCCTGTGTCTATCCGCAGACCTTTAGGTAAGTTAAACACGCATTTAAAGAGGGCTGATTTCTCTTTGGAGCTGCGATTGCCTTTGAGGACGACATTCCGAACATGATTTTTCTGGTAGGACCCACACAGTCACATGGCTGCGTATATTACAGTAGCTTACTTGAGGTGTGGGTTGTCTTCTGTGTGGCAAGTTTTCTGTGCTGACTGAGACCCCTGTACAGAGCAAGCCCCCCAGTATGTTTATTCCTTGCTGTGGCCAGCCACCGTTTGCCCTCTGACAGCAGCTCCTGGGAATCTGAGAGCTGAATAAGAATCATCTGATGAGGACCAGAGGCATAGAAAGGGACGTGGGGGCATAATGACCTGTAGGTTGAAAGTTGAAGGTCACATGGTAACATTCTTTGCCTTTTCTTTCTCCTAGAAAAGCTACCTTGAAGCCTCTCCTAGCCCCAGTGTATGTTAAACGCGATAAAAGTGATTATTAACCGATGGAACATGTATTGAGTATGTCCATAGGCATGTATTTAGATTGCCATAGATAGGAATAATGACTCAGCAACTTTGTCTATATTCTCAAACTCAGAAATGTAGTCCGTCTTAATTAGGATGGGATGCTCATGATAATTGGCCCCTACAGATACTTTCCATGATAACAAATTGACATAGACATTCACTTCATAGGTTTAAAAAAATATATTAAATCTTTTTTTTTTTAAGATTTTATTTATTTATTTGACAGAGAGAGAGAGCGAGAGCAGGAACACAAGCAGGGGGAGTGGGAGAGGGAGAAGCAGACTTCCCGCCGAGCAGGGAGCCCGATGCGGGGCTCCATCCCAGGACCCTGGGATCAGGACCTGAGGCGAGGGCAGACGCTTAACGACTGAGCCACCCAGGCGCCCCTTAAATCATTTTTTTTTAACCAAATAAATCTCATTTTAAATATATGGGGGGGGAGAACCCATCCCCAACCACAGAGCACCCCAGAGCAGACCTGGAGTGAACTATAGCCTGAGGAGGTGGCTGGCCCCTGTTGGTTCTCCATCCATAGTCTTGAGGCTGGTGACCTGGGAGGCGCCCTTGGCATTCTTTGGAAAGATTAGAATAGAGGTGGGGCCCATCACAGATAGAATCAGTGTGGTGGCCTCAGGCGTGAACATACCTAAACAGGATCCTGGTGCACAAGTTTCTGTGAAACTAGGATTGCTTTACCATGATTAAGTGGAAAAGCAAGAGGATCAGGTTTAAACCATCAGGACAGAACAAGGGAGAAAATAGTTGCTGTGGGTCCCTGAACAAAATTAAGCTTGCAGATGCTTTTGTTCTCTCTGGTCATACTCATCCTCATGAGATCATCTTGTTTTCAATTTTTGTACTTTCTGGGGAACCGCAGAACTAAAAAGTATATAAGACTGTAATTTTATTTTTAAAAAATAATTTCTTTGCTTATGCCTCCACTTCTGTATTACTAGTCAGTTCAGTCTATCTGTGATGTTAGAAGGAAGATGTGATGGTTTCTACACCAGTATTTATCTTCATAAACTTAATCCCTCACATACCTAGTGAACAGAGTTGTTTTGTCTACAACCAGAAATTTCCAGCTTCGAGGAATGCAGAATAGGAAGTGGATAGCGTGCAAAGAAGAGTGAACGTTTAAGTGCTTTATGTGCATAATACATGTTTTATATATACCCCACTGGTCCTTACAGTCAGCCTGGAAAAGGAGATACTATTCTCATGTGGCAGAGAACGACCTGGAGTCCTAGAGAGGTTAAGCAACTTGTGCAAGGTCACAGCCCAAGAGTGCTAGATCTGTGAACGGAATGCAAATTTTTTAAGCTGTGAAGCCCATGCTTTCCACCCTCCTCCCTTACTATACAGAGAACTGCCACCCTCAGCTGTTGGACAGCAGATTCTGGCTGGCCTTTTGGACCATTTGTTCCTGGGACCCAGGGGACTTCCTTCAGACGATGGAGAGAACACAGGACGCAGAGAAGCCTCCCTCGTCCCTCCTGCGGGATCACACCCTGCGGCAGCACTCTGGTTTCGAGTGCTGCTTCCGCCTCCCCTGGCCTCCCTTCCCCCACGGGTGCACCTTGACCTCAGGTGCACCAGGAGGTGGTCTGCCCTGGGTACCCCGTGGACCCCGGGCGGGGCGGGGCGGGGCGGAGCTCGCGGTGAGGAAGAACCGCCTCCTGCCCGCCACCCAGGGCAGAAGCTCCCCCAGGGCCAGGGGAGGGAAGGTTCTCCAGCTGCTTGACGGAGAAGCCCGACCACGAGGCCCTTCAGTCAGTGCAAGGGGATGTGACCTGGGTACTCAGGCCAGTCGCGGAAGAATGCAGCCGAAAGGCGGCGCGGGAGGCGCCCCAGCCTGGGGGCGGAGGGTCCCGGCCGCCCTGCGCTATTTCCCAGGTCTGACCAGCTCTTATTTGTGGGACCACGTATGAGACATGGCCAGTCTAAATAAAGGTGCCTGTATTTCCGTCGGAGCAGGGGAGTACTTCCCGCTTCGCGCGAGGGCCTTCCCTGGGGTGGGAGTGGGCAAGCTGGCCTGACCTGTTCTGTGCGGCCCGAAAGCCCGCGGTTGTTTTCACGTTTCCAAATGGTTGGGGAAATCGTGAGGCTGTGGTGAGACTTTAGTGGAGTTGGGATTTCAGTGTGTGCACCGAGACAGCCGTGATGGAAGGCGCGCCCCTCGCTCCTGCTTGGAGGACGGCAGAGGAGCGGTGTGCAGGGCCGTCCCAACCCCAAATACCCGCTTCCTGGCCCTTCTCAGGACCATGTGCCCAGCCCCACAGCCCCGCACTTCTACCGTCTCTCTCTGCCCCTCCCCCTCGCATGCCCTCTCTCTCTCTCCAAAATAAATAAAGAAATCTTTAAAAACCAAACAAAAGTAGTCATTCCAACAGGGGCACAGGCAGGGACTAGCAGTGTTCTGTTTCTTGCTCTGGGTGCTGGTCACAGGGTGTGCTCAGCTTGTGAAGATTCAGCAAGTTGTTCACTTCTGTACTCTTTTTGGCATGCATGTTACATTGAATGAAATTTTAAAAAAATATTTTTTTTAATTTAAATTCAATTTAGTTAACATAGACTATTATTAGTTGCAGGGGTAGAATCTAGCGATTCATCAGTTGCATATAACACCCAGTGCTCATTACATCATGTGTCCTCCTTCATGCCCATCACCCAAGAATAAGAAACCTTGCCAAGTGATTTTACTTCCAAAGCTGAGTATAAAGGGCTAGCAGAGGGATTTCTTTGGTGGTGGTGGATACAGTTACAGTTACAGGTGGACACAGTTACAGTTACAGATACAATTCTGTATCTTGATTGTGGCAGTGATTACACAAACCTTCCTACCGATGGGATTAAGTTGGATAACACACACATTCACATAAATGAGTGTACAAGAAACTGGGGAAACTGCCAGAAGGTCTGTATTAACAGTATGATACTTATGTCAGTTCCCTGATATTATGTAAGATGGTAACCACGGGGAGAAAATGGGTGGGAGGTATGGCAGAATATACCACTTTTGCAACCTCCCATGAGTTTATAATTACTTCAAAATAAAAAGTTGAAAGATGTGGAGGGGAAATAGCCAGATTCGTGATTAACAGTGAAATCCTAAAAGTTCTTCCATTAAAGTCAGCAACAACAACAACCAGCATTTCTCCAACTAAACAGTCTCCCTTTTTGAGATGAGTTTAGGGAATGGCCAAATTTCCTGCATTTGAAGCCTCCTTAGTATTATCACCTCTGTCCCAAGGTGACGAGCCCAGAATTGCAGGCCTGAGGTCTTAGCACAACCGGAAGAAAGCACACAGTCTTACCTAATCTGACACAACACCTGCAAACACGTCCATGTCCCCTGAATCACCAGGACGGGGGATTGTTCGCGGCCTACACTGTGGCGAGTCCTTCCTAGTTAGCTGATAAAATGGATGGATGGTAAGTAAATCTTCAGACTGCCAATTTCCAAACCCATTTCCATTCATTTATAAATAGCACATGCAAATAGAATATGCCTTTCAACACTCTTAGATGAAGCAGGGCCTATTTTTCCAGAAAGTTTTGCCAGACTTCATCAATGAAAACCATACTGATTTGCTTTTTAATTTGCTGCGGGCTAAAATAGAAGCTGTAGCATTTACATTTACTGATAGAGAATGGAAGAAATAGGAAGAAGATGAAAGTAACACTTGCTTTTAAGCAGAGGCCTAGGCCAAGGATGTAAAGAACCCCCCCAAACTGAGAGGTAAATGGGTAATTTCTCCTGGTAATAAAGTAATTTTAAAAATTAAAAGCAGGTTCAGTGGAACACTAAGCATTGTCTACACATAGCAGGCCTTCCTGGGTTCTCTGATTCCCACATTCAGTGCCCTTGAGGCATTTTCTGACCCTGTACCATTGTAGACAAGAGTGGTGCAAAATGCAAATTCTGGCGTCTTGGGAGTCTGACTGACTTCCCTCCCACGTGTGGAAGAAGCTAGTGTTCTTCCATTTGCACATTCATTTCAAGTTTTCTCATCCATATAAAATTTGTGGGAGTTTTTCGCTTATTCTTTCAACTGGTTATAATACCCTTACCAGCTTCCTCATTAATGAGTTAAATAAAATACCGTATGTTCATTTTTAATTTTTTTAATTTAATTGACAGCGTGAGGGGGAACACAAGTAGGGGGAGTGGGAGAGGGAGAAGCAGGCTTCCGGCCAAGCAGGGAGCCTGATGTGGGACTCGATCCCAGGACCCTGGGATCATGACCCGAGCCGAAGGCAGTCGCTTAACCAACTGAGCCACCCAGGCGCCCCCGTATGTTCATTTTTTAAAAAACCAAAGCAGGGGAAAAGAAATGCATGAACTCAGTGGAATGAACAAAGGGAAACACATACCCAGTGGCACTGCTCTTTCTTCCGATGAAAAACGTTCAATGTCAGATTCAATGAGGCCACATGAAATTTCTTAAAAAGTAATGAGCACTGGGTGAAAATACAAGATACACTGTTAAAATAATTAACAGTGATTATAATTGAATAGCAGGATTTCAGGGAATTTCTTCCTCATACTGCTCTGTATCAGAAAAGCCCAAACTTGAGGAAAAGTACGTCATGGGTAACAGTGGGGTGAGTAGAAGAGACTGGCAAATTTGAGAAAGCTGGAGTATACTTTCTCACACAGCTACACTTATAAACCATGTAAATTTTCAGTCTGGTTCAGCAAACATTCAATGAGCACAAACCACGGGACAGATCCTCGTGAAGATGCTAGGGTACAAAATCTCACATGCATGCTCCTGGTCCACGGCATTCACTGACTAGAAGCTCTCTGGGGAGGGAGCACTATTTACACCTGCAGGAGAGGAAAAATAATTTTCCTTCTACCCTTCTGAGTTCTTGGCTGAGACCTCTGAAATAAAAGCTAGAGGAAAAAGAGAAAAACAAGTTCATTAACATGTATGCCTCATGTACACATGGGAGACACCCAGGGAAGA